GCATTTGAATTTCCTGCAACTTCACACAAATTCTATAGAAACCCCTGCTTTGTCTATCTACCAGGCAGGGACTGTCTCTGGGCATCATGCCAGAGGGAGCATTTCTCAGAGAAAGAGGCAAAACTTTTACATCATCCCCCGGTTATTTGGTCCAATCACATTGTTCTGATACTGATCCCCCAGAGTCACCATGTCCCACATCATCATAACTTGTGTCTCCAGGAGGCAGGAACAGGGTTTCTTTCTCCATCCCAGAGACACCTTCATTCCTTAGCGAGTGCAGATTCCAACCTGAAAATACAAAGGGAAACACATACAGTCAGTGGGTCCATTTTATGGCTACGTGTGGCCGCATAGCAAGGGTGGAGTTCACGCTCTGGTATGGGTTAGAAAATGTTCCCTCTTTCTTCTTCTCATTGGGTCCATGACAAGTTTTAATCCATCATCTCTATACATATTTTGGAAGTAAAATCCTTGGTTTCCAGACCATTTACAGTTGCCAAATGAGAACTGTATTCACCTGTCACTTCATGTATAAAACCCAATCACTTACCAGGAAGTAGCTCTTACTTAAGGACATTGTATAATTCACTCTGCGCTAATCATACACATGAGCACATTATTCTTATCAAGTACTAAGCAATGCATATTTTATCGCCACTCCACTTCCTTTAGGGAGGCTGGTGGTGTCTCTGCTCATGACACAGTGGGGATGGGAGAGGAGATGTTGACTAAGGATAATGGGAAAAGCCCGACTTTTACAGGAAGTGTCACAGGCTCTTTAACATTTGTGGAGCAGTGACAGGACTTTGGTTTATAAGATTCTGTCCAAAAGATACAAGCACAGTAAACTGGTGGGAATCCAGTACATCCAGGGTATGGCAGCCACACAAGGATTTGAACCTAGAGATTGAGGGATTTTGCTGCTTTGACCATGAAGTAGTACACAGCAAGGACTCCCCTTTTCCTGTCACCATTGCAAGCACTGAAACCTCTGCTTTGAGGGAAAGAAGAGAAGAGAGAAAGAGAGGTTCCCCCCCCTCGCCCCCACAGGCATTGGGTTGGCCAGGTTTATTCCCTAGCTGTGTAATGCACATTCAGAGCCATCCCATTCTGTGGATACACTGTGAAGTGCAAACTCACCTGTCTGTGAATCCCTGTTCCTGTCACTCGCCCCAGTGACTTCCTCATCATTCTGCCCCAAACCAGGGTCATCTTCAGGGTCAGACACATCTCTGGCATCATCATAACCAGCCCCTGGGACATCTCCAGCCAGGACAGGGGCATCTGACATGAAGATGTGAAGTAATTAAGAGAATATTCACAGTGAAGACAGAATTAAAGTACAAGCTGCAGATGCACCAGCCTCACTGGTTCCTGGGGATCTCTCAGCACTTCCACCCTCAGGGTGGTAAGAGGAGCCCCCCCTCTGGAACCCTCAAACTGAGGGATTTTACATATCACATTGATTTGATACATTTCAATAGCTGGTTGAGAGGATCCTAGAGCTCGCAGATGAGCTGGGAGAGGGGCAGCTCTAGAAAGAGGTGACTGGGATCTAGTCCATAGGGATTGCTCCACAAAGGCATTTCATTACAATAATTACAAAGAGAAATGGCTTGGAATTGTCCCAAGTTTGTTTCCAGATTCCTAAATTTGACATTATTTTAAAATGTCTTTTCAATGTGTTCTCCTGATAATGTTTACCCCATAAACTAACATCAGTCTCCAATGTATTGACACCACTGGGAGCTGAGCCAGCTAATAAGGTTGGGACATCGACCCGTGGGTGTAAAATCTCTATGTCCCACCCACCCCTGTCACAGTGTGTCTGACACAGATGCAGCTATGGCAGCTTATATACATACCAGGAAAGGCTGGCAGGGAACATTGCTGCTATGTAAAGGTCTCTTCTTCGGTGCGTTGTCGTTACAAATAGTGAGTATCCCTAGTGCACACGGCAGTGAGGGTCACAGGGCAGTGACCTGAGCCAAGTACAGCATGGGCAGCTCCTGAGCAAACTGCTCCTTCAGTCCCTGCAATGGGCCTCTGACATGACCTAGGACATCACACGCTTCCCTACCCCTGGGCCTCCACACAGCTCATGTAATGCACCTGGTCAGCGCCCCCAGTGTTAGTCCAATAGACAATACTGGTGGGTGAACTTTTGTGGTTTTCTTAACAAACCAATATTGTCCCTACTGGGAAATAAAGTTAAATAAATAAAGATATCCTATCTCCTAGAACTGGAAGGGACCTTGAAAGGTCATTGAGTCCAGCCCCCTGCCTTCACTAGCAGGACCACATACTGATTTTTGCCCCAGATCCCTAAGTGGCCCCCTCAAGGATTGAACTCACGACCCTGGGTTTAGCAGGCCAATGCTCAAACCACTGAGCGTTGCCGCTATCTAGCATACCACTATCACTCCCCTGAAAAAGTTAGTTTTCAGTCAGGGTGACGTTGGTTCCAGGAGGCAGATTCACTGCTCACCTCGGCCGCCTGGAGTCTGGGGGACGTCGTTCAAGGCAGGCTCCTCCACGTTATCGTAATCCAACTGAGACCCCTCTGGGGAAGCTCCCTCTGGAAGAGCAAACACCACACTCAGCCCATGGCACCAGCAGCGTCTCTTCAGCACAGGTGGTGCTTATAACTACAGCTTCTCAGTTTATGCCACCCCATTTATAATTAGAGATGGGCCCAGGCCAGGAAGTTCAGATCTAGGATTTTGCTTCAGCCTGTTATAGTGACAGGTGCCAGCCCCAAAACTGAGATCCAGAGCTGGGGTCAGAATCTGCAAATTCCCCCTCCCCTAAAATTCTGGTGGGTTCGGATCAGTGAGTTGGGCTGAGCCCATCTGTACTAAGAACACAGGACAATCTTCTCATATCTCTCGCGGGATGTGTGTTGAGCCCTGCTGGGCATTGACACCTTCCACCCAAAGAGACTGACCCGTCTGCTCCAGCTCCTCACCTGGGGAGGTCACTGGGAGCCACTCCCAGGGGTGTGTGCTCAGGAGATGGTCACATGTTCCCATCCTGAGATTCTGACAGAAATCCTGTTCAATGGGATTAGACCCGACTGTGTACAATGGGAACCGTGTGAGGGGAAATGGCTGCAATTGCAGAAAGTGTCATAGAAATTCTGTTCTCTGCCCAGATTTGGGTCTCTCAGCCTGAGTCTGCCCCTCCCCCATTACCTTGTTCTGATCCAGGATCGTTTTCCCCCTCACTGTCCCCAGTGTAATACTGCAGCTTCCTCACTGAGTCATCTGAATAGGAGACTGGAGAGACGAGAACCAGAAATTCATCACAGTGAGAACAGCAGAACTGTGGGACTGGGAACACATCCGGAGCCAGGAGCAGGATTTCCAGTCTCGGTCTATTCCTTCTTCTACAGGAGACGGTAACTCACAGTGACTCTGAGCGGTGAGAGGCTGACACAGACTCCCCAAGAGAAATCTCAATGTTACTGTGGTAAATGTGACTGAGCGGATGCTACAATCAGACCTGAAATATACTGGGATGAGTGAAGGGCATGTCTCTGGATCCTGGTCCAGGGAAGTTCCACAATGGTCCTGGCCTCATCATCCCCAGAGGGGACTCCTCCTTCTTAAGGGTAAATACCCGCCTCCCCCCATGAATCAGTCGATCAGCTCTCTGTGGTGTTTCCAGATTAGGCCAAGACAAGCCCAGAGCAGAGTCTGTGATTCACTGTAACCATCTTGGCAGTGATGCTGGGAGATGCCCTGAGCATGTTCCCAGAGCCCCACCATAGCACAGCCCTTGGGCAGGATGATCCCATCAGACATTGAGAGAAAATGGCACAAAGGATAAAAGGGCCGTGACTCAAAGTCATGAGGCTCTCCTGGGCTGATCTCTCTGCTCCGGGGGCAGGAGGGAGCCGACCCAGCAGACCAGTGGCTGCGGTAGGAGGGGGGCACAGAACATTTCCTGCTCCAATTCTCCAGAGCAGTTTTCAAGTGATAGTTTAGCCTGGCCCCAGACAATCACTTTCCTGACCCAGAACTGGTTACACTCCAAGGCTGCAGGATAGGCAGAGTGACATTAACTGTCCCTAGAATTCTGGTGGCACC